AGGATAAAGTGCCAAACAGTTTTTTTTTTGTGCGTAGGGGAGAGAGACCGAGGCACAAAGAAGACACTGAGTGGGGCTGTATAAATAAAGGGATGTGACGAGGAGGAATTTTTTCCACACTCCACGGGAAAGCATTTGTCTGCTGCCATGATGCGGTCGAGTCTGTCAGTGGCTGTTTGTTAACATTTGGCACACTCGGTCTCCACAGCTGTGTGCTGTAGTTCAGAATGATGCAGCGCTTGTGCCAGGTTGATTAATGCCTGAGATTTGGATTTAACTTGCGCCACAGGCTGTCACTGAACACGAGCAACTGAAAGTGAAGGAAAATGAAAATCTCATTCCGATTTGAATCTTGGTTACCCCTGTAACACTCAGGCAGCCTGAGAGCATACGCTGTGTACTGCTGAGGTCTCACTTTCAGTCCCCCTGAACACACTGACCTTCCCTAGGATTATTAGGGCAGTGTCCAGATGAGCTGCCATCTGTCTTGTGCTGGTTTGTCTGGGATGTACCTGTTCTCATATCTCCCCTTTTGTGCTGTTCATGCTTTATTGATCTGAACATAGAACAGAGAATAAGCGTTTTAGTTTCTATTTATGTGCCTAAGTGTTTAATTGTTTTAAGTAAAACACGTCATCATTACTACTTCCCCTCTGAATGATGAGAATGGATTTTGCTTAAGAGGTATTGATGCAAAGAAGTGGTTTATTTTAATCCATGGTTGCTTAGGAACATCTGAAGCATATGTCACCACACTCCCTCTCAGGGACCAAATTGAAGTCTACCATGAAGAATGAAAATCTTTCCCATAAGCACAAAGTGAGACCGAAAGGTCACCCAAAATTACATTATACGGGACTCTTCCCACTGTTGTGTTTTTGTTTGTTTTCCTCTTGGCCATCTTGTTATACAAATATGCCCACAATGCCTCTGCGTGACAACAGTGACAGCACATGCAACAATCGTCTCTTTTGTATTTGCTTTGTTCCAGTTTAACACTCCTGTGGATCTGGACATCTTGTATTTAAGTCCATCCCCCATTTATTAGACCTTAGTACACTGAATATTAATGATACATATCGGCTGTGTATTGTGACATGTGGGACTGGGCAGTATGCCAGTGGCTGCAGTTAATGACTTGCTGTGAGTTCACACTCAGTTTATTATTATTCTACAAATTTCTGTTGAACCCCGACTCATAAGAATAAAATGAAATGTTTCTATGATGCATTAAAGTTTAACCCAGCTGCAGATCAAGCGATTCTGGCATCGACAATTTTTGTGTTATTTGGGACAAATTTACAGACTAGTGACAAATGTTGGAGTTTATGTTCATTTTGGTCCAAGTCCTGTGTCGGAGTGCACTGTCATTGTCAAGTAGAGGGTTCACATGGACCCCTGCCAGCTTCTTTGTTCAGGGTAAAGATATAGTTGCCACCAAAGTATGTATTTTAAAGTTTGAATCCAGTTAAATTGTACTTTAAATGAGATAGAGACTGACTTATGCTCCAGAGAGAGAGACATTGTGGCCAGCTTGCTGCAATTAGAGTGACAGTGGTGGACGTACCCTCTCATCTAAAGCATTACGTCAGGGTGTGTCTTTGTTGGAAAAGTATGCAGCAAAGTACCATGTGAAAGGAGCAAAAAAATAGTTTACTGGGGGTTGTTGTTTTAATGCAGTTTTTTATCCTTATTTTCAAAGGAAAAAGAGAAACTGTCTCCTACCTGCCACATTGGGCTTCTTTGCTAATTGGCATGGAGCCCACAGAGATGAAGCTGTAACAACTAGAACAGAAATATGATCCTGAGGCTGGGGAAGTATTTGATATCGCTACAATCATGACGTAACCTACTGTTGGATAATATTTTGTTCATTTTACAAATCGAGACATATAGAATGCTCATAAAGAGCTATGAGATTTATCTGGAAAGTCCCAGAAATTGAATTTAGCCAACATTCAACTTTTAAAGTCTCAGTTTAAATGAAAGATTTTGACTCCAGTGAACCCATCAGGCCAAGTGGTCATGCCTGCTGCCACAACCGCAAAATGACATGGGCTGCAGAATTGATTAAATATTGGCTGATACTATGGCGATCTCTGTACTACTGAGGTCATAACAGTTACATAAATGACCCGATTTTAAACAAATAGTTTGAATGAAGTCATCGAGTACCAATGTAACCTCAGCACGCTCAAAACAGAGATTGGAGAGCGACTCCTGTGGTTAGAATGCTGCTCGCTCTATCAATGAAATCAGTGTCCTGGTGTAAACTGATGTCTTACAGGGATCTGTATAGTCACTCACATTTTTTTTGTAAAAGCTCAAATCCTCCCCCTGTTTGACATTTGAAAAGCTAGATTACGTTTTTAAAATCCAGAGGTTTACAACTCCCATTTTACCTGCCCTATGTTTACATATTGCTGTGTTGTCTATAATCATAGAAGTGCAGCTTGTAAATCAGTGGAAGATTGATTGGCAGGGCTTTGTATCTTTTTCTTTGTTCATGTTCACACAGTAGACAAAATGAAGACCTGGTTCTTTTTAATTTGAAAAGCAGACTAGAGTGATGTTTGCGTTCACCCCCATACACTGAAAAAATTATTTTGTCCATTTACTCAGATTTACGTATTTCAATTACATGACAAATTTCCATCCAATTCAATTAGGTTTCTCTATAGAGCACAGACACCTCCATGGTGGTTTAATGAGCCTGTGGGCAGTTTGCAGAGTCAGGTCTGAAGAATGTGACACATAAGCCATCTTAGCTTTGTGTCACAGCTCCGATAATATTACTCACTTGTAGGGTTGATGAGTTGAGGGTGACATCACTATGTCGAAGGGTTTAGGCATTTCATTCTAAAATAAACAAGACAACCTGGTGCATGAGGTAAGGCTAGACTCCAGATGGCCTACTTGTGTGACAGGGAATGCTATAAAAGTGTGTGTTTGTGTCTCCACTTCACAGCAATACTGGACAAGGTTAGGTTTTATGCCCCGCGTGCAGCAGTCTATACCTGTACAGCGCCCGACATACACTGAAGACAAACAGCCGCTCATCCTCACTGCCAACGTAGTGTCCAGCATTTTAAAGTCACCAATACGACACGGGGGATGATTGTGGGTAAATCTGCAAGCTTAATTTCACCCATTTGTCCATTTGAAAGGCACATTATACTTAATTTGAAGACCGTAACATGCATCTACAGGCTCATGCTCTAATAAATCATTTACACAGCTTTTTATTCACATGATTTAAGGGATTACTATTTGAAATATTTCAAGATGTCATATTATTTGCTTAAAAAATTCCACTCTTGGCCCAAACGGGAACGCATGTTTGCTCAAGCGCGGCTCTAGATAGATGCGCTTCACCACTGTAGCTCAGACTGTGGCTTTTACTAATGTAAAATGTCTCAAGATAGTTGTGTGTAGTGGAAAGTTACCTTATGCTCATTTCAGACTCTACTGCTTAGGAAGCAGACAGCAGATGGTTGAAACTAATTGTAACAAACCAGACACCATACCAATAATAGAGGGGTGAGGCCAAACAACTCCTAAAGCAAAAAACCTCAGTCAATTACTACATGTGCCCATATAACTATGGGACTCTGGAAATAGTTGCTTTCTTCCAAATTTGTAATAGATCACGGTTTTCATGGCGTATTTTATCCAGCGATTTTGTGGCTGTGTTTGGTTTAGTCGAGATTGGTGCATCTAGCCACGTGTCTGTGGGTGCATGTGCATGTGAGCGAAGGGTAATTATTTTTCAAGAGTGACACCCTGTCTGCAGGTACAGCTGAACAGCTTCTCTTTTGCTTTTCTTGGATATTTTGCAAGGAAAATCACAGTTGCCTTATCAAAAGCTTTTGTAGGTAATCATCACCATGAACAGATTCACATTTTTCTCAGCTGTTCCGTACGTTTACTTGTTACCCTGATGTTGTTAGTAATGGCAACCAGCAGAAAATGGCTGATAGGTAGTTGAAAGAACCAAAACAAAGGGAGTTTTTGGTGAAATATTGCTCAATACCGAAAGTGCTGTATTTGCATTTTGCTGCAGCTTGTAAGATCCTTAGCAGTGTTCTCTAGCTGGCATGGATTCCAGTTTCATGATGCAAGTAATATTACACAAGAAAAACAGAATTCCACGTTTTGAGCATGTGCTCCTGTTTGTTTTACACATCTCGTGAGGCCGATCAGCAGTGACTTGGCCAAATTGTGCCTGCAACCAGAACTGACTTAAAAAAGGGCACAGTGTAATCTTTGGTAAACCAAACTCAAATACTTTCTCTGTTTATGGTTTCGTAATCACACTTAGCTTAGTCTGTGTTTTCAGCAGACTGAAATTGGCTGGAATGCTTAACTCAGTGGGATTTTGTACCTGCTACTTTATCCTCAGTCCTTTCAGTTGCAGAGCACTCACATTGTCCATGTGAGTCCACGCACATGATTGTGTTTGCGGTTCGACATTTGCTCCGAAGAAGCTGATGTCAATGTTGTAAATGATTAACTGTAATACGTTTAGAATAATTCTAAACTACAGGTGCATTTCTTTGCATTTTCTCACACATCACAGCATTTTGCCTGGCGTCACTGTATTTATACACCTGGTTTAATTCAGGTCAGACAGGAGTGCAGTGTTTCCTAAGAAGTCTTACTACTCTTAAATTTCCATTTTTATTTGAGCAATATGTGCAGTTAAAAGGAAATAAGAGGTAGTCCACTTTTAACTTCTAACTAAAAGGAAATTACTCTAAAAAAATGTATGTATTATTTAGGAGATGGCATAAAACTATCCACTTTGTTTAAAGTTCAAATACTGATTCGGATCCTTTAAATAAACCATAAGGATGTTTGGTTCAGCTGAAGTGTTTTGATATACTGGATAAAACTGCTTATTCGTCTGTAATTGTCCACAAGATGACCCACAAGTAAAGTGTTTTCTTAAATATTTGACATCATACGCCACAAGTCCCATGCTATAACCCTTCCTTTCTTCATACAGACCTCAGTAGTGTGTCTGGTCCCAAGCCCCTCAAGCCTCAGCAATCCCTCCCAGGGACCCCTGTTTCTCTCTCACACTATCCCGTGGACCTGCGAACATCAATGGAGGAAAAGTACAAAGAGATTGCAGAGGTGAGAACTCCAAATTGTCATTTAATTCAAACAAAAAGTCCAGAGTCTGTGATATTTCACTATTTTTATCAGAAGTCTTCCCCTGCAAATCTGAAAAGATTAAAGAATGTTAATTCATAAGCTGAAAGAAAGCCAATTAAAAAATTTTTTTCTTTCTTTTACTTTATCTAAGAGTCAATATAACAGATGGCTTCTTGTTGGCATAGGCCTCTGTGTTTTCCATATGCTCGTGATGGTATAAATATTGACATTGTCTCCTGTTTTATGATGTGCTTTTTAACCTTCGTTCAAACCAGGAGCTGTTCACACGCAGCATGACGGAGAGCGAGATGCGGACTGCCCCCTATGAGTTTCCTGAGGACAGCCCCATCGAACAGCTGGAGGAGCGACGGCATCGCCTTGAGAGGCAAATCAGTCAGGACATTAAGTGAGAACATGCAAACAGACTCCATGTGCACAGCTACTAAAACAAGCCATTTACATCACATCAGATGGACAGACACTGCTCTCCCTCCTTTTCTTCTCTCGTCTCCAACACAATGTTGCTTTCACTCCTGCAAACATGCTTATCAGCTTCCCACATGCTATTGTGTAGGCTAACAAATCCCAGCAATCATCGTCAACATCACAAACTTTCACTAGGATGGGTTCTGTCTCAGTTACCAACGTTCATGCTAACAGCACCACTAAGCTGATCACTGGGTGGTTCAATGACACGTCATCCATAATCAGGGTGTACCATTACTAACTGATGTTACAGCTCCTAATATCTAAATGTACGGATTTGAGTGAGTGAGAGGTTTCTCAATGGAGTGTGCGTTTGTGTTTGTATTTCCTCTCTTGTGCTTGATATCTTTCTCACTACCTTTGATGCCCATCTGCCCCTGCCTTGCCCACACTATCCTGCGCCGCTGCATATCACCCCAAGGCTTGAGCCAGAGATCTTGCTCCGTGCCAAACAGGACTTCATGAAAATCGACAGTGCTGCAGACCTAGAGTGAGTGAGCTCGGCCTCAGTATGCATGTTCAGTCTGGTGATTATTTCTGTCGTTGTCCCTTTAATAATCCCTGTTCTTGCTCATACATGGGACTGACAGCTACTTACCACCTTATCTTGCTATTTATCCTGATTGTTCAAAAGTTATCCATGTCTATTTGCACATTTTTTAGGACATCTGGACCTGTGTAAGTAATATCCTTCCAGTTACGTTGTCAGCCCATTGAGATGGGCCTCATCTTCCCCCTGCTGGCGGTGTAACGGGTCTACACAGCTATTTACTTTAAGACAAAACTCGACAGTTTGAAATAGAAGTCTGTACATGCCCATGTATTGTTTATTGTTCCTTTTCAATCCACAGCTGAATCACGACTTAATACATAAGGGCAGAGTCTTGCTCAGATTGCTGAGGAATTCTTACAGCTTTGGTCATTATGAAGATTTTTAGATAAACTATTGAAGTGTATTTTCTTTACATATTCACTCTTGTAGCTGTGCACAGTGGGCCTCAAAGGCAGCTATGAAATAAATGTGTCAATATTCTGATTAAATAGTTTGAAATACTGCATATACATCACATTCAAAGATACTAACAGCTGAGAATTAAGGATATAGGGTAGTTTCACTTTGGAGTTCATATTTAGTCCTTAAATCATTTAGTCCTTGGAGGTTTGCATACAAAAATCCAAATGGATAAAGCTTGTGGTTTTAAACTGCAACAATCACAGATTGAATATTGCCCCTGCCTTAATTCAGTTACTGCCTAAGTCTACTCCGCATCAGTGTGAGATGATCAGCCCAATATTCAGCTGAATTGCCTCAATTTTGATGCTTTACTAAAGATTATAGCGAAGCACGGGGAACCCTCCATGGCAGTGGCACTCTTTGACACCAGCAGCCTTTTCCATGTAATGAGCACTTTGTAACCGCTTAAGATAATCTGTGATGTCGTTGTGGTGGCTGGTCTTCTGTTGCCACTGCATCAACTGATGGTTTCTGTTTGTGTCCAGGGTGTCAGTTGGGCGGTTTTAAGTTGTGATATTGTGTGTCAAGACTCTACAGCACATAATCATAGTTTCAGCCTTCCTCTTTGTTTTAAAGTGACTTTATTGTGTCTGTGCCTGATAAGATTAATGAAGGAAAAGAGCGACGACACTGTTTACATGGGCTTCATGGAAAGGCAAATGCCACTGGAAAGGGAGTACCAGAGGGTCTCAATATCTGGAGAGGAAAAGTGCGGGGTAAGAATCTCAACTGAGGAGCTCTTTCAATGAAAAAAGTTCAAGCACAGCACATTTTATTCACATCCATTTGTATTTATTTGATTCTGTGCATTTGCAGGTTCCGTTCACTGACCTGGTTGATGCTGCTAAGTGTGTGGTGAAGGCATTATTCATCCGGGAGAAATACATCAACCGTTCCATGCAGTCATTTTGTAAGACCACAGCTCATTCGTTGCAGGATCTCGGGACAAGTACTCTAAATCTGGGAGTCTATGAAGATATACCAGAGACCCCTGTGCATGCTGGTATAGTACACGCTCACACCTAGTTTTGCACACTTTCAACAGGAGAACAGAAATCAACATGTTATTGTCGAATATGAAACATTTTCTGAAAAATAGAAAGACTGACCAGTTTTACATGTGTGTTTTTGCCAGATGCCCCTGTTCACCCACCTGTCTCACTGACACACCCGTATGATCAGGACCCAAACAGTATGCCAGCAGATACAGGATATGGCTGCAAGATGGTCGGTGGTGTAGTCCATGTCTACACCAAGAAAACCAACATGGACAAGTATGTGTTAACGACTGGGCTGGGCTGATGATATTCTGAATGAAAAATGAGAGATATTCATGGTATGACATCAATGTACTAATGTGCTAATGTCATTGTTGTTCAGATATTCTTTTTTGCAGCTTTTTACAGAGTACAACATTCTCCAAATTGTTTAATTTCTTGAATGGTGAAATCCTGTTGTACTCCAGCTTCTTCTCTCTAAAAACACGGATGTTAGGTTAACTGTTGACTTTACATTGATCATAGCAGTGACTGTCAATGTTAATGGTTGTTTGTCTCTGTGGCCCTATGCTCAACTTGGAACAAACTGGGATAGAAAGTGGGTTGATGGATACATTTTAAATTCTTATCACAACAGTCTTAATCTGAACCTGGGGGCTTGTTTAACAAATGGGTCTGCTTTGCTTTTCAGAAGCGCAGAACTTGACCTGCCGTATCCTGACCTGAAGGAGTATATTGAAGACATGAATGTGATGATGTCGCTTATTATCAACGGACCAGTGTGAGTATTAACTTTACCTGATAGACCAGATGTTTGAGGACGGTCTCAGACGGTCTGTGTGTTTGCTGTCTGATTAAAGCTAGTCTCTTCTACTTTGCGTGTACAGGAAGTCCTTCTGCTACCGCCGCCTGCAGTACCTGAGCTCTAAATTTCAAATGCACATCCTCCTGAATGAGATGAAGGAGCTGGCAGCTCAAAAGAGGGTTCCTCATAGAGACTTCTACAACATAAGAAAGGCAAGAAGCAATGAAAAAGTTCCCAGCGTAGCTCTGCTTTAAGACCCCCCCCCCGCTGTGACTTTGACTTATAACTGGTATGGTTGTTGGTGTGGTGCTGCTCTGTGTGGACTCCAGGTGGACACGCATATACATGCATCGTCCTGCATGAACCAGAAGCACCTGCTGCGTTTCATCAAGAGAGCCATGAAGAAGTACCCCGAGGAGATTGTTCACGTGGAGCGTGGGCGTGGCCAGACCCTCAAAGACGTTTTTGAGAGCATGAACCTGACAGCCTACGAACTGAGTGTAGACACGCTCGACATGCACGCGGTGAGAGACGGCGGACCAGGAGGTCGGACACCGGGAGGTTTGTGCGGTAAAGCCGAGAATCTTAAAACAAGCTGTGTCTTTGGTTTTCATTTTCAGGACCGAAACACGTTTCATCGATTTGACAAGTTCAACGCCAAATACAACCCCATCGGAGAATCCATCCTCAGAGAGATCTTCATCAAGACGGACAACTACATCGAAGGGAAATACTTTGCCCACATTATCAAGGTGTGAAAGGATTCATCCATAGAATGTGTTGCTTATCCGAAAGATGACTGAAAACACAGACTGGTGCATCCATCTTGTCTTTATTCATCCAGGAGGTGATGTTTGACTTGGAGGAGAGCAAATACCAGAACTCTGAGCTACGTCTGTCCATCTATGGCCGATCCCGGGATGAATGGGACAGCCTGGCTCAGTGGGCCGTCAGACACAGAGTGTACTCTGACAATGTCCGCTGGCTCATCCAGGTGCCCCGTTTATTGTGAGTCTGCCTCAGAGTTTGTTTTTCCTCAAAGCTATGACTATTCTGTCTAAACATGTGTGACAGTGAGTTGGTGCCAGCATGAAAACTTCTCTGACCACAAAACTTATTATTCTCTAACCCTCTTTTTAGTGATGTGTACCATACAAAGAAGCAGCTGGCTAACTTCCAGGAGATGTTGGAGAATATCTTCATGCCTCTGTTTGAGGCCACCATCAACCCCCGCAGCCACCCTGAACTGCACCTCTTCCTGGACCACGTGAGTGAGGCGTTGGAGAATCCTGGCCGATTCCCCGGTGAACAACAGGAGTGACTCTTATTTCTCTGCGTTTGTGCGTTGACAGGTGGTGGGCTTTGACAGCGTGGACGACGAGTCCAAGCCCGAGCACCATATTTTCAACCTTGACAGTCCACTGCCAGCTGACTGGACAGAGGAGGACAACCCACCCTACTCCTACTACCTCTACTACACCTATGCCAACATGACTGTACTCAACCACCTTCGAAGGTAAAGGGATGCAACATGCATGTCAATAAGGCCTTCTCGGTGCTCACTTTCTTAATGATAATTTCTTTAGTATACAGCCCCTTAGAGTGGATTTTGGTTTTAGTGGTGTACTTTCTGCTGATGCAGGCGGCGAGGCCTCCATACTTTTGTGCTTCGACCTCACTGTGGTGAAGCGGGACCAATCCACCACCTGGTGTCAGGATTCATGTTGTCTGAGAACATCTCTCATGGGCTGCTGCTCAGAAAGGTGAGGAAACCACACTGATGGGCTCAACTCATCAGGCCCCGTCATTCTGAAAGGAGAAGTTTTGTGTGTGGAACATTTCATATCAGTTTAACCCAAGATAATATGGATAAATGTCTCTTTTAATAAGTAAATCTATTTGAATGTGCTTTTTAATAAATTTACTATGAACTAAAATTTAAAGATTGTATATAACAAAGTTGTTTAACCAAAGTTTTGACCAAATGGTGATGCCATAGATTGGAGAACAGTGTATTGAAAATTGAGATGTTGCCTTTCATTAGTGCTTTGATTCATGTTGGGCACACTGCTCTTTTGTTCGGGCTCAGATTCATTGACCTCTTTGGGATGAAGAATGCCTCCTTCAGACCCCACCAGACAAACCATAAATGTTCTGCTCTTCTCCTTTTCTTTGATACCACTCAGGCTCCGGTGCTTCAGTATCTGTACTACCTGGCTCAAGTCGGCATCGCCATGTCACCGTTGAGCAACAACAGCCTGTTTCTCAGCTACCACCGCAACCCTCTGCCTGAGTATCTGTCCAGAGGCCTCATAATCTCCCTGTCCACTGATGATCCTCTTCAATTCCACTTCACCAAAGTCAGTAGGAACCCTCACTCATGTTTACCGAATTTTCATCATGTGTAAAAGACAGGAGATCAAACTCTCATGAACTGTGTCTACGTCTGTTTGCTCCCAGGAGCCCCTCATGGAAGAGTACAGCATTGCAGCTCAAGTGTGGAAGCTGAGCTCCTGCGACATGTGTGAGCTGGCAAGAAACAGCGTCCTAATGAGTGGATTTTCCCACAAGGTACACTGATATACAGCTCTGTTCATTCACTGCTGTACCTGACATGAAAACGTTTAGGCTGAGTGGCTGTAGTCTATAGCCACTCAGCTCTATTGGGATCTACCATTACTGTCCATCGTTCCTGTCAGTTTCAGTAATGGTTTTAGATGAAGTGGTTGAGCTGTACCAGATAGCATGATATTCATCACTCTGACCTCCTACCATGCAGAGACATGTGAATGAGCATTGGCCAAATGAACATGAATGGACGTATACCTGCTTCTGTGTCATAGAAACAAAGTGTGTGTCAAACCCTTCTAAAAGTTATCTGTTACATTCCAGGCTAAAAGCTACTGGCTGGGCCCCAGCTATTTTAAGGAGGGCCCCGAAAGCAACGACATCCGCCGCACCAACGTCCCCGACATCCGCGTGGCCTACCGCAGCGAGACGCTCACCGAGGAGCTGCAGCTCATCACTCAAGCTGTGCGCACCACAGAGGGGCTGGACGGTGCCGATGTGGAGGACCCTCTGACCATGGGTCCTCTCTCCGGGAGGCGCTGAAACCCCCTTCAAAAACCTCGTCTAGTATCTTCCCCACCCCACTCAGCAGGACACTAAAGGCAGGTGGTGTGTGTTTCTATTGTGGGCCCCGTTCACAGTATGGACACCACCCCGTATCACCGTAGCTGTGTGCGCACACTCACAGCTACACGACTACCAAAAAGCCACGTTTACAGTGTTTTCTGAGTGTTTCTGCTGCCACTCCTGTTAGGCCGTCGGAAAAAGATCCCAAGAATTTTCTTTGGTTTCAAGTTTCCCCGAATGGTTTTTCTCGCCACATCATTTCTGTTTCAGTTGCTCTCTGCGACATGTCGAGTCAGCATGGTGAAGCTTTGCTGGAGTAAGCATCCGGTTTTCTGTCCTGTTGGCCGACAAAATGAAAACCAGCACATTGAGACAGCGTTTTAGCAGACCTTTCCTTGACGTCCTGTGTCAGTTAATCTGTTCTCTGTAGATACGAAACGCATCCGCACAGCAAACTGACAGCTGTCCTGTTTCCTTCAGCTGGATGCTGCAGCACGAAATATTAGCCAGTCACTTGGTGTCATTTTAGTCGCTCTTTTCTGCTTTATTGCACATTTACAATCGTTCTTCCGTGATTCTAATCAACTCAGAAAGTAACTTGAAAGAGAGACTCTACTGCATGGCCTTCAGTAACCAGAGTCTTTAAGTGGTCGACTGCAAACATTCCTTAAAGCAAATGGGGCTCTTTAGCTGCACAATAAATTGTTAGCTTAATCCCTTTTACTATGGCGGTTTATAACAGCCGTAGCAGAGATGGAGGAGTGTTTATTCGTGCATCTCAGAGCACATATAAATGTGGATGAACTTGAAGTGTTACTTCACCATGAAGCGTCCTCTTCATGTCCACAGAGCCCTGATCTCACCCATTCCTCTTCCAGATTTTCGTCTTTGCATGCAGCACACCGATAAGCACCGAGCCAAGACTCAACAGTGCCTTTTTCATTTTTTGGCTTTGCTGGATGTCCAGTTTTTCTCTTCTCTCTGTTTTCCCGCCGTTGGAGCTGAAAGCGCCCTGATGCATGCTCCCTTTCAACTTGGCCTCCGAGCTGGAAGGCGGATGGTCACGTGTGCACTGAAATGCTTTTCTGCATGCCTGCATGACTGATGGATGTTAGAGCGGATGGGTCGTTTACCTGGAACAGTAGTGTATGATAAGAATTCCGCAGTTCAGGCTGGCGTTTGACCCTGTGTCTGTTTGTGAGAAAACCATGCTGGGACGTGGTTAAAACCGTTGCATGATTCTTCATGTTTGTGTTTTTGTGTTTTTGTTTTTCCCAAACGCTGATCAGAAAGCTGGCACCACGCGACTCATACTTTTTTCCCTTCTTTTTACACTCATGTTGCCACACTGCACAGCCTGCCTCCGCACATGGCCCTGCGTCTACGTCAGTGGTTTTCTTTAGAGGAATGAATCGGATGAGAATTGAGCCTGTTTAGATAGCCAGCTCTGACATATTAGGGTGTTTATGTTTGCTGTATAGACGATTAGGATTCACTAAGAATAGCCCAGCTTCCACGTGTTAGGGGATGTGCTAGAGTTGTGTTTCAAACTCAGAGGAGCTGATGTGCTTGTTGGACTTAATCTTTATATTTTTAGACGCTAAATACAGTTAAGAAGTTTTATACTCACGGTATGGGGATGTTAAGGATATGAGTTTTCTTTCCGTCGATCGTTGTGGATGAGCATGACCTAATCACAGTAAAGTTTCTCACTGAGCCTTTTCACGCTCACGCTGCCTGTATATCAATGTGGCGGCTGCTTTCACTCCCGTTTAGCATTTGATCAACTCATTGCTTTAATTCAGAGAAACATTCACATTAGATAGTGCCTCTTAATTTCTAGTAGCTGGTTAGACATAATAAACTGTGTCTTCTCAACCCACACTGTGTGAACCTTATTTGAGCCAAACTTAAAACCAGATTGTACCCCTAGAATTGTGTTTCACTGCTTTTAATGTTTGACAGTCATGTTGTTTTGCCCTTCTAGCATTTTTCTTTGGAACAGACCTAGGTTTCCATTCAGTCAGCTTTACAACCAATCACAGTTTTCACTGCGTTTTTCACGTCTGAAACATAGAGCATCCTACCTCACAAATGCCAATCTGTGATCTCATGCCCATCATTGTCACTGCCTTTAGGGCAGCTGCCATATTTCCTCATCACCCGTTCACCAGTTTTAGTTTGGTCTGTGGAATGCTGTGTATTTGTAAGTGAAGAAATAAATGCAAATTGCAATTCCCTGTAGCACAAGTACCTCGAATGTTGAAGTAGAAATAGTTTTAAAGAAGGCAAAATAAGCCAGTTTCAACTATTTTTGCTTGTGAAAACATAAAGATAACCAATCAGTCCACAATTCCTGTTTCATCAATACTAGCAGATTTGTTTTAGAGAGTAGACAGATGTGAGGTGTCCTTGTAGCAGTAACATTTGCTATTTAAAAGACAAAAACACACCATTCACATATTAATCACTTAAAAAAATAGATCCTTCTCTGTATAAACTTTTTGCTTTATGTTCAGCTTGATTTATATCTGCCTGCTAACTCCACTTCGCTTTAAGTATTATGAAAATGAAGAGAATCACTTGTGTTCAGCTGACAATTATCCCTTTTTTACCTCAAGATTTCATCTTGAACTCTGCCTAATTTGCTGTGCATTGGTATGTAGCCTTATAACTGCTTGAGAGAGACTGCCAGCATTTTACAGATTATGATAAGGTTCATGTATAACGTCTGCATAATAAAATAAAGCATGTTAATTCACTACGTTTGTGCCAGGCTTTGCTTTTACTTACACGTTGCCTAATGATCACAAATTCATTGATTCTACAGGAAGAGCATCTCATCAAACTATTCAGTGTGCTGAAATTTACAATTCATTTTACAATATACTGATTTCATGACATGTTGAATTGAAACATTTCAGAAGAGCACATGAAAACTTGACTTTCAGAATAGTGACGACATGTTAAACTCTCAGTAAACACTACTTCCTCTTATTGTGTCTTTTTAGCAGAGCGCATACAGACAATGCAGTTTAGGTCCAGGAAGATTTCTTCTTGTCAGCCCGCTGTGACCATCTTTCACTGCACCGTCGGCCTCTCCTAACTGGCGAGCTAAGCATTGAAAAGAAAAAGGGTTGTTTGTGTTTAGGTCAGCATTCCTCAGGATGACACAGACACAATCTGCAGATGGTTTTTGACTTACGGCCAACGTGGACTTGACTGCTTGTAACTGGAAGAAGACCCGCCCTCCCTCTTCGGGACACACGATCTTTAGTTCTTCTCTAGTCATCCCAAGTAGCATCGAGCCGCTGAGGCCGCCCAGACAGCGCACGGTGCTGCAGGTGATGGGAGGAAACTAAGGGGTTAGTGATGTGCACGTGCCAAAACTGTTTGCCACACAACATTCAACCTTGTGAATTCTTTTCGGTTTTGTTCGCTTAAATGAGCCCTTTAAATCTGCCAGCAAATGTTAATGTTCTTATGTTAGCTTCTGATATCTTTTTATGTCCTCCGAGAGAACTTTGACACACACAGAACATGCTGTCAGAGTTAACCGTGTCCCCACACAAATGCAGTGCATCCCTAAACCAAAAGGAGATGCTTTAGAAAGGCAACAATGGGACCAGATGAAGAAACTCTCAACGTGTTCTTGGATTTAAATGGATTCTGAAGGGTTTGAAAAGACACTGAATCTATGGGGATATTTTTGCAGCAGCAATTATTATAGATTGATCCATATTGTAGAACATTATTATAATTGTGTATTCTTGTCTTTTTAAAAACAGCATAGTGCCATAAGCCTCAGCCTTTGGACAGGACAGAGAAAAGCCCCGAGAAGCCCCCTGACAACTGAACTTTGCATAAAACTAAGCCAGACTGATGTTGTCCAGTACATTTTCAGACAAGCACCCGAATAAAACCGAACATTAGAGCATGGAGGTCAGAGGTTGGTGATAAAAAGCTGAATAAGAATAAAAACCCAAGTAGGAGACATTTCCAAATATTCCCATGTAAATTATGAGCTGATAAGACTGCTCCCACGGTCCAGAAGGCTGCCAGATGTTGATGATAACACTTTGATGAGATCATGCCAGAAATCTTTTGAGGTTTTCCAAGACAATGAAAGTTTTATTCCTATAGAGCACTGCTGGGGTATGAGCACTCCCACAGCAGCTCTAAAAATTCCTATTTCTGAAAACCTGAATCCTCCCAGCAAAAGTAGGTCGACTAAACATATGATCTGTTTAAAAAAACATATCATGTCAATCTAAGCAGAAATCTTTATTTTAATGTCTTTTTACTATTAAGCAAGAGAGCAATTATTTCAAATTTGAATATTTTCATGCTGTGGCTGGATACAGTACATTTACATTTTCACTGAAGGCACATGTCCAGTGTTTATAAATCATTTACAAATATTCAATTTCAGATCCTGATATCTTAAAAAGACCTGTCAAGTTAAGAATAATGAATCCTTCTTGGTCTGAAATAGATGAATATCACACATATTTATACATTACGAGTGCCAGTACTCACATTTGGCTGAAGCCCTTGTCTTCCAGCCAAGCTTTCACTTCTGGTGGCCTGGATTTCCTCGTTAAGACGGGATTCACCTCGATGTGCTTCAGAAATGGAGAAGTAGCAGACAGTGACTTTTTGTGTCTGTATGGAGGCAGTCTAACACTGTACATCAAGCACAATTTCAAGGTAGTGATGGGTCAGCCCTGATGGACTTGGCTTTTTCAGAATATTTCTTGGGAAAAAGTTGCTCGAAAAAGCCAGCTCTGTTTTTCATTATTATTATTCATCTTTTTGTCACAGATTTAGTTGAATTGTTTTTTTTTCTTCTTTTTCTTCTTATATTTTCTTTCCTGATCGGTAACCACCTCGTCAGGCGTCTGGTCCTCAGCCTCCAGGACATTATTGGGCACATAGCCCTCCTCCCCTCTGTTGTTCCTCACTTTCCACCACTGCTTCGACTTGTCCAGCAGCTGCAGGGAGAAAAGGAAAACATTGTTGCAATCCTCTGGGGCTTTTGCAGATAAGTGCCGCTGGATCAAATTATAAACTCACCTCAACCACTTCTCCCTTCCTGATGGTGAGCTCTATCTGGTTTCTTGAAATGAAGTCATACTTCACACACACGTCTCGCATTTTCTCCTGCCTCGGGCTGAAAAATACATAACCACCAGCGTCTTGGTTTCAGATGAGAAACGTTTGGATTACAGTGATGCCAAATTTCTGCTTGACTATACCGTTGCATTTGTGGGGGAGGTGCTGGTTTCCATTTGCTGTAGGCCTGTGGAATTAAGTAAAGGTAAAATAAGTTATTTCAATTCCTTTTCTTCTTGATCCTGTGGTTAGAAGGCCTCCTCACCTGCCCGTTTGTGCTGAGTGACTGTGTGGGCTGTGTCCTTTGATGGGAATACTCCAGGATTGGGGTTCTTCGTGGACTCTCCTGTCTGCTCTCAGGCTGACTGTCTAAAGGTGCTTCAGATACTTCAGGGGGCTGCCAACCGTCGTAAAACTGCAGTGTGTACGTTGGGATGTCCTCGTCATCCTCTGGCCACTGGGTGCTGTTTGCCAGATCACAATCACACCTGATTATCGACACCGGTGACTGAAACCGCCGTGATGTAAAAAGCCGTTGGATCTTGGACGTTTCCAGTGGATAAAAGGAGGCGTGCGTTGCACCTGGGGATGTTCCAGGCATCTCCAAGAGACTGCCAGAGCTGGTCCTCCTCTGTGGATGCCACTTCGCTCAGGAAACGGACACACTGAGGGGTCAGCAGGGGCGCCACAATGGTCGGCGGCAGGCCTTCGGGGCAGTGGGACACCACCTGAGAGGAAAAACTCCCACTGTGAGGCGCAAAAGGACTGTAACAGTTCAACTCTGACTACATAAAAGAGAGCTGAAAGATAATTTTGACCAATTAATTTATGAAGTGTTGAACCATTAAGATGTCAGATTGAAATAAAAACTATCAAATGTGGAGTCACTCACAAATGCTAATGCAGAAAACAAGGAGTGGACCAACTCAGAATCACTGGGGTTCTGGAGTTTTCCTTTGAGATCCCCCTATCAAAAGTTAAAAAACCGAGCATTACAAGGTGATCAGGAAACTGACAGACAGCAAAAAACTGATTTTAAGTTTGCAGAAAGACACAGACCAAAATGTTGAAGCCAGATTTGATTTTATGGAGACATTCTGTAAATTCCTCTGCTGCCGGCATGCCTCCCAGAACTAAAACACGGTGACAGTCATACAACGTCATCACTTGCAACGGATGATATTATATTCAGTAACGAATGTGTCAAATGTTCTCATTTCAGCAGAGCAAAAAATCTGGTGTGAAGTGTACGTGAAATTACCTTTCCCCTTCTTGTTTTTTTTCTTTTTCTTTGCTTTTTTGGAAACCACAGCCTCTATTTTCCCCATGAAGATTTCTACGTCATCTAAAATGTGATTTAAAAGATCCTGTAACGAAACAGCAAGAAAATGACCAGATTCTCCTTCTCAGATTTTTATCCTCATCAAATGAGTTACATCCAACAGATTTTTCCAGACATTACTTTTAGATGTTGGAGGAAAACTCACCACATTCCTGTTGAACTCTGTGTACGGGCCAGGAGGAGACAGAGGGGTGGGGGGCTGGGAAGATGAAAACAAGTACTCTTCTTCCTCGTCCTGAAGCAAGCGCAGTTCAGGATCTGGAAAATCATCCTCTGGATAGCCTGAATATAAAATAGATGCCACAGATGTTGTCATTGCCGATATCATCAATGTATTCGTGTCCCTTTGTAAAGTCACTTAAAATTCAAACGACCAGAATCTGCATCAGCTCTAAACGTCTGAGTCATTCCAATGTTGTCAGGTAGTTTTTGTGCTTATGAACAATGAACAACCAAATTATTCAGATACATTAGGTTTTTAGTAATGGCCCTGAGGCAGAGGCTCACAAAATTAGGGGTGAGCAAATTTATGGCTGACCAACAAGTTCCCAAATGGATGTGATAGAAAAAAATACATTGCTCGTTCATGTCTTTGGGTACGACCCAAACGGTGTCCCATAAAGAACAGCCCATACTAGCAACAGTCTGCAAATGCCATGTTAAAAACTCACCATAGTCTGAAGCAATGGACCTTGGCGCCATATTATTAGGAGTTCCACCTGTAACTCTTCCATTGCTGCCTCACAAGCATAAAGAAAATTCTTTGAGGTATAAACAAAAGAAGAGCAAAGATTGTATATTTGTCAGTGTTAACTTTGTACCTGGGACCTGACCTCCTGTGGGACAGTGCTCGCGATAGGTCCCTTTGAACGTAGTCAGCCTGGCAACAACAAGCCCGAATTAGCTCGAGTTATTCACTTCGCCGACTTTAGAGCAGCCGCTTCAATAAGTGTGTCCTCACCCTAATGTCGTCACACTGGAAAAGATAGACTGTGGTCAGGTTTTTTCTTCTTGGCTGGACTGACACGGTGAGCAGGGAGTTATACACTTCAGCGTCCAAAACAGCCCTGAGCTCCTGAATGTCACTCAAGGGAAGGGACTCCAGCTCCTCCTGAGGAAGAACAGATGTACTTGTAAGGTTTTGGTAGTTTTCCTTAAAAAAGAAGATGCTTGTTTCAGTGATGGAAGTGTGAGGTCAGGCCTGCCCTCCACAAGAGTCAATATTACAAACACAACAGCATTATGGGACTAAAAGAGAAACTCTTTTAATCTCAGCTTTGTGACTCGAGACAATTTGCAGCTAACCTTTCCCCCCTGGGATTACTCCCACCGTACCTTGGTTTCAATGTCTGTGAGCAGCAGGTTGGCGCCGTCCACCTCCAGCAGCATGCTCTGCGCCCACACACGACCCATCTGATCCAGCAGCTGCAGGCGCTCCACGCAGTCCGAGATGCCCGTCAGCTCCCTCCCGTCCAGATCACAGGTGAACAAATGCTGCCCCAGACAGACGTAAAAAAGAATCAAGAATTTTGACGGGATTCAGCGCGATTCATGTTTATGAGAAAGTGATCTTACCTCCACCCTGTACTGAAATTTGTCGATCATCTTGTTCACTGACGTGGCGTACTGTCTCCTCTGCACTGTTGAAGCAGAAAGGAGGGTTGTGAGGGACTCTTCATGGATGAATAAGTGTACTAACTCCTTTCTAGCAGCCGCGTTAACTCACAGTAAATTGATTTTGCGCTTGGCCTTGACAAGTTCGATATTTCCGATGATGCCTCATCCATAGTCGAGTAACCACTGTTACACACCAAGAAAAAATAGTAAAATAACCATAACAACATCAGTTATTAGAATTAAAGACACTAGAGAAATGCAGAAAATTCTCAAATACAGACGTGGACTGGACGGAGCCTGCATAGGTGCTGCTGTCAAAACCGAAGGGACTGCCACCCCTGGACATTTTGTTCTGACACACCTGCAGTATCACATGTAACAACGATTACATGCACCATAAACATTACAGGTGTGTGCTTACTCACAATTATGGATCTAAAATAAAACCATAAAGCACATATTTTCAGAAGATCTTTTTCCATTTGTCCTCACATACAGCTGACGGGTTAAAAAGTTGTTAAATAACAAATTTAGTTTATTTGAGACAAAAGAAGAAGTATCAGTATTTCTATTTATAGTCACCGGGCAACACAAAACAACCTCACGCCCCAATCATATTTCATGTCTTGTACATAAAGTTATGTAAACTGTTTTAAAATTAAAATATTACAAAGAAAAAGCGTGATGACAAAAATTAAATGAAAGAGAAGAGATTGTTTTTTTTAAACAGATTTCAAGACCAAGGAACATATTTTAGATCACATGATTTTTAGCACAATTCTTTGATTGCCGGGAACAAAATCATCAAAATGAGGTGGACTCCTCATGGACTGATTGTCTTTCATGGATTTCATTCTCTCTCTTTAAGCCACATCACTTAAATAGAAATAAAGTCATCTCACGAACACTCACCCTTTGCTGTTCAGCAGTTGAACGTTGCCGTTGCTTCCTCACTTATTCTGAGTACTTTAGTAGAACTGACTGCTCCCTTCACATTTTACTAATGCTCCTAGATAATATGAACCTAAGACTTCCTCATAAGTGAGGAGATCAAAGTTCACTGCCGGTAGCAACATGATCCGCAGGACAGCGACGCGTCACAGATGAGGGTGTGACATCTTCAGTCTGCCATCCTGCTCGAGCGAAGGTTGCGAGATACAGAGGGAAACCTCTGGTTTCCAAAGTGTTCAAACAACAGTAAAAGCTTTATGGTTTTTCCATTTGTGAGTAATGCGCCAGAATGCCATCACCCTTGAACTTTTACTCCGTGTCATTTTCTTTTGAACGAAAACTGAGATTTAGATACAGAAGTAGGCTAAAAATCTGGGACTGTTTTTGGGATCATTGCATTTTTGCAAAACTCAGTTTCAGCAAAGCGTTGGCTTCTCAGACAGCCGACCTGACGTTTAACTGCAGAACAATTTGGTATTCTTTGGAATTTATTGTTGGATTGTTGACTGCAAGGTGTGGGTAAAAACAACCCCTAATCATCATCCTTCCACCGCCATGCTCGACAGCTGTAATGAGGTGATTGGAATCAAAATGTTGTCTTTTGCTGAACATTATTGTATGATTGTAAGGGGCTTGTTCTGGTGCAACATGGACATTGTTAGTCTTTTTTTTAAATAAATAATTTATTCTTATGTCTACTCAGGAAGGACTCAAGAACATCTCACAGACATTTACGTTTAACTGAATTTACGTTTAACTGAATTTACATTTAACGTTTCCTCACTCGAGTTGAATCTGTTCACCTGGTCCTACGCTTTTGTGTCCAGTGAGCTGGTATCATACAGCAAATGATTAACCAGACTGTTGACCAGAATGAATTCCTCTGTTATGCAATCATCACAAGGTACAAGGAGACATTTTTAGCTCAGAGGATCGCATAAGATAGAACAGTATACTAAAATACTATAGTATATAGTATTATAGTATAGTGTAATAAATCTATCATGAATATATATATATATATATATATATATATATATATATATATATATATATATATACATACATACATACACACACACACACACACACATACACACACACACAAGGTAACTGGGGAGTCACAGTGATGCACATTGACATCTGGGATAGGCCCCTGACAACACGCCCTGAAATGAAAATGTACAGATGTTTTAGAATAATATGCCATAGTGGTAAGCATAACTCTTTCCCAGTAATTTAGGGAAATTTAAGGTGTGCAGATTATTTACCCATAAAAACATTAAAATATCTCACTTTTGATGCAATATATTTATGTTGTGTTATTTTTTCCCTCTAATATTTTGCAACCGCTATAGACTTTTAATTTATTCTGTATGTGTTCACACATTCTTCAGGTCTATGGTATATTTATGTTGTTTCTGGTCTACAACAAATTACACCATAGTTTAGCACATCTGGAACTCCTGAGGTTTACAAGCTGTGTTGCACATCTGTCAGAGACAACACAGAATTAATCCATAAGCAGTAAGTCATTCATAAGCTGCATTTCAGATTTTTTATTGATAAAATAAACATGCAGTCACAGAGCAAATACATCCAACAAACCACAATTCAGCACCCAAAGTGCAGAGGAATTCATTTCTAAAGAAACTTGTAGCTGAATTAAAAGACTACCAGATTACAAAGTGTGGCTTAGAATAAAAACATGACTACTAAAACAAACTATATTGTAAATGGAAAATCTAAATGGCTTAAGAAAAGTTGTTGATCAGAAACTTTGAAAAACAAGAGAAATATATTGCATCTCAGCAGGGACAGTTGATATGAATGCTGCATGAAAGGAAAAAAAACAAAACAATCCAGAGCAATCCAATCCTAAATGAACATGTGTACATTTTTTCAATATAAAAAAAAACTAAATATCAGAATTGTTCCAAGTTTTGGATAGACAAAACATAGGATGTATTAATGCCCACTTCATGACCAATAGCCTCCAGGATAGTCAGGTAATCTCTGAATTGCTGTGAATGACAAAGAGGCACAGCCCAGCATCTGTAACTCATTAACTATAATAAATGTCCCCTAGCAGCAAGTTGGACTTTGGCCTATAGAGCCACTACATCTGTCTATGGTTTATACACAGATACAGGACAGAGTCAAAGAATTATTCTCCAATATAAAGACGCAAAGACAGTTTTATCTTATAGAAGTAATAAAACATTTAAAAAAACATGAAACCTATAGTATAGTGTGCACACTTCTAACTATGGTCACACATAAGTACTTATTTCCCAACAGTTGGTAACTCAGTAGTTTGAAATACACAGATGTATACATTGATAGTTCAGTGTGGGCAGCTTCACTGAGCCTGCAAAGCCTGGACAATGTTCAGGCCTGAGCCAGGGGGCAAAGCCCAGCCATCCTGGCCCTGGTTGGTATGAAGTAGACAGTAAAGCTGTTTGAGGTGGGTTACGATGTTGTCTTTGATGTCTGGGACTGAAATCTGCAGGCGAACACTGCCACTGTCAAATGAGCGGGTGCTATCGCCAGAAAACATCTCATTTATCATGCGGGCCACCACAGGAATGACCTGAAGTAGAGAGAGAGAGAGAAAGGGATCAAAAACCACAAAAAAGATACAACATAACCACAACCTCAATCATATGTTCATAGCTATCTAGCCATTTCTATCAAATAATTGACCCGTATAAAACATGAACAATAATATTTAGGTCATGAACCCTTTTTCAAAATCAGTTAAATTATCTATCTGTTGACACGATAGTTGACCGCTATTATAGTTATCACATGACTACGTCTCATTAGATCAGCAGATACAGCACGGAATATGTCACGATTACACACCAGGTCTCAATAAACATTATCACAAAGCAATAAACCAGAGCCTCACAGATTTGCCAAATACAAAAGTCCTGTGAGAGCAGGAAGTCCTGCATAAAAAGGCAGAAGGAAAGTATCTGTGTGGTTTAAATGATTGGCTTTCTCCCATCAAACCACACTTTATTTCTGGTCTCATCTTCATTGTTTTTTTTAAGCTTTGGTACAGTGACAGTGCTAAAGAGAAACGTCGATATCAGCTAAGTTCATACAATATTTTTCAATCAGTGATGTCCTCATCTTTTATATTAAAATCTTTCTATCTTATCAAATCTCATACTGCGTCTGCTCATTCAAACACAGAGAAACATGGGTTGCCTGAGGCCAGGAAGAGCAAAGGAAACATGTCAAGAAGAGACAATGTTGATGATTCCATGACTGTGCATCTGTAGCAACCATGAAACACAAAGAGCCATTACAGACAGACCCCAGACAGGCCCGGCTTGTGTAAATACACATTTGACTTCCTGTTAAAACGGTTCAGAAATGCAAACTGCAAACAGAAAAATGATGCCCACACATGTGAAGGACACCACCCTGTAACTGACAGATGAGATGTAAACCATGAATCCTGAATGTCCACAGCTTCATTTTATCTTTATGTTTGATGCATACAGAAATTTTCTTGGGACGAACACTGCTTCTTAACAAAGAAAAACACAGTTCAGAAGTGTGGGCTTGAACTCCCCCGTTCATCTTACCTGGACCATGATAAGTTTTCTCTCTCTGGGTCTGCCGTCGGGCCACTCTTCTCCAAAACACAGACTGATTTCAAACTGAGGAGGGTTTGGTCTCTGGCCACGCTGGTGAGCGATCACATCTGTATATTGAGGAAAGACATTTATAAGAATCACTCATCACAACGCAGTTAATTCTCAGGGAAAATATTTCCATATCCAGCTTTAAAGTCAAAGTCATCCTGCCAAAAAGGCAACAGCAGAAGTGTAGAAATGTGTTTCTTCCTCTGCTTTTTTTCTAGGAAAAAACTACCATAAACAACTTTTGAAAACGTATTAAAACAATTTTAATATATGTCCATAAGCTTTAAGTATATATAATCTCAATTTAGAATTAATTTCTCAAGGTTATTAAAATGAAAAGAAGGTAACAGTAAAAATATGACTTACCACTGAGAAAAGACTCCAGGCAGAAAAGTTTGACCTTCCTCTGCCGCTCTATAAGATTTGCTGCCTCTGGGTTTGGAGCACAAGGGCCAGACCAGTAGACCTTACACTGGCAGAGACGTATTGCGTAGATGTCGTGGCCACTGACCTCCAGGATCAGCCCTCGGTCCATCACATCCAGCAGGCGGTTGGTGAAGACCCTCTGCTTGTCATTGGTGATGTGCTCGGTTGTTGGGAAGCGCAACTGTTCCAGGTTCACAGGCCCGAACAGCTCTTCCTGGTTAACCATGGGCCCCAGGTCTCCGTAGAACAGCCTGCAGCCCTGCGGGTTGCTCACGGTCACAGTGGGACACATTTCCTTCCCTCTGTACAGGAACTGCACCTCAAGGTCAGTCACTGGGTAGGAGACACGAATAAAGACCTCAATATTCCTGAAATATATTATTTCAGGGAACAGTTGAATGAGAATTCATTCAATTTAACTGGGAGCGTGTGCAGTGCCTGAAATATTTGCAAATATTCACAAATTTTCAAAATTCAATGATTCATTCATTGAATAATTGTTCTAAGGGGGGGAGGGTGTCTGTCTAGATGCTTTTGAGAGAGCAACACCATGTGTCACAGTCTTAATCAATGTTGTTTGATTATTTCCCAACGTTTTGCAACTGTGACAAATCTCATGAAAATGCACCTGGTTGTTTTTTCTCAACAGAAAACATCCCCCTGGTTTGCCATAGGATTAAGCAGATACTGGCATTCTTAGATACACACTCACTTGGGAGAGAACTGATCCACATTTCTGGAGAGGCAAATAAGGCGTCTGGTAGAGAAGTGGGCTGTAGCAAAGGTTCGGGCATAGGAGCGACAGGCATGTCCACCAGGGGTGTAGGCTGCATCTCCACATCTGCAGGCTCCTCTTTGGGCCAGACCTCATTTGAAGGGGGACAACTGGATGGGTGCATGGACGACTCTGAGCCCATGGGAGACCACATTATAAGTGGAGATGGACTGGTACCTACATGAGGAAAAAGATGAAAGTCCATTAACTGATGACAGCTTTAAAAATGTGGCTCTCGTTTTTTTCTTTTGCTTGTTATTTCTGCAAACGTATCACATGAAGCAGGAGTTAAATCTCATCACCATTGGAAGGATATGGAGGTGGGGAATCTGGTGTGTGTGGAAAATCGTCCCCATCGTCGTTATCTGGAGTCCGAGAACCAGCGTCTGAGGAGGCTGCAGGGTGAGAGGCAGCATTTAGGGATGGCAAACATTAGAAACTGTGAAACAGGGCACTGCACAAGCAGCCTTGACTTGCCTTGGTTACTGTAGGGCTGTGGGATGTCGCAGACATCGTATATCTTTAAAGGATTCATGGGAACCTCTTTGGTGCCGTCGTAGATGAGCTTGAATTCTCGGCTTTTGTTCAGGGCACATCGAAGCTGGGCTTTCCACTTAGCAGGATCAGGTTCATCAACTCCCTCCTGAAACTTCCCGGTCTCCACGGCCCATGCCTGAAGAAACAGTTACACACAACAGGGGGATCAGTTACACAGCAACTATTCTTCATTTTTGTGTCTCTAAGCATGTTGATTGTATTGTGTAAAGCATGCAGCGCAGACAGCTGCCAGAGCACAGCTTCATAAATCTAATAACGTAGATATTTTTCTCACCAGCATAAAAACAACAACAAAAAAGAACAATTGTTTTGCAAGAAATTATTCAATCACATGCCTTGAATATGGTGTCCTCATCCTCGTGCTGGGGAGTGTGTCGCGTGGCGTGCTTCCACGGGATCTTGAAGCGCATGGCCTCCCGGTCAATCCACACCAGACCCGGGTAACGTCCGCTGTCCACCTGGGCCACCAGCCACGGCTTCAGGCGGACACGCCGGGGGGTGACCGACATCCTGACTGAAACACAATAAAGGGCCAAAAGTCAGCACACACTCGACTCGTCCTGAAAGTATGCGTCATTTTTCCAAACTGGCAGTTAGAGCCCTGCGCAATGCTGCGGCGTTGTCTGTTTACCAAAATCCTGCAAGTCCGGATTCTCCATAGTCTTAAAACCAGCCAAACGTCGCCGTGCCTTTAACGCGTCGTAATCATACCTCAGTTTGCAGGTTGGGTATTTTTCAAACAATAATCAACTTAAGAAAGCAACAAAAAAAAAAAAAACATGTCTTAAACCAAACTTAGGGCTGGCAAACGCGATAAGAGCGAAGGGGAAAACATACCTGAGCCCAAGCAGGAAGTGGGAAAAGTCTGCCCTTAATAGGCTGTGAGCCACCAGCTGGGACCAAAACCGACCGTTTCCTGTCGGAGTCCAAACTCCGCGCGCAGCTGCTCCAAACGACACGAGCCCGCCGTAACTTCGACGGGGCCCGCTGCCCGAAAAGCCCAGAGAACGGAATACCTGTGGGAACTTTGGCCAGACGATGTTTTTCAGTCGGCTCCGTTCTTCCTCTTCACCGAAACTCAGGTACGCCAGTGACGTCACGCCGGTGTCACACCTTTTCTGAGCAGCTCGGAAAGTTTGTTATGCAACATGTGCACGCGACGCCGGGCTATCGTTCGTCCCTGTCTGTAGTTCTACCCAGGTCCGACCCAGAGGAGACCAAGATTATAAATTAATCTAGAATTTAACATATCTAGAGACATTTTCATTACGTTGACATCGAGTCTTTCATGTGACGTCAGCTATTTGTATTTTAGTAATTACATTTTTTAAAGAATCTTTGAACCATTTAATAGCTGTTCTCTTATTTAAAAACCCTGCAGTCACTTGGAAAGCTACAATAATGAATTATAACACGTGACACGTTCTGCAGGTTGATCTGGGAGTCTGCATTTAAAACAGCAGCGGCCTGAGTGCTCTTCAGAGTGGCCGAGGACAGGTGGGTGGTGGTGGTTGGTGATCCTCTAACAGAAGGGAGACAAACCACGCCCTGAAACTTTGCAGACAGCGCGTCTGCTTCCATCACACGCTCCCCTGGTTTCGGATTAATAAGCATAATGTGCCTGTGTGTGCGTGGTGCCAGCGGCCCGGAATAGCCACTGATGGCCGTCCAGGTGAAGTCCCGGCCCCCTGCAGCAGCTCAGATGATGGGCGTGCCTGCTGCTGGGTAAAGATTTGGCTCTAAGAGCTACAAATGGGCCACCCTGCCTTTAAAAAGAGGAGACAACCACTCAGATTTTTTTATTTTAACAAACGTTGCGCTCAAGTCAGGAACTTTAGTCAAACAAAAAGGCTGGACTGACCTCACTTGTCCACGTGGATTTAAAAACCTATTGAGCTGAGCTTCTGTGTGTTTGCTGCTTGGCTTTACAGAGCCATCCTACAAAAGAGCAGCAGGTGTCAGATATCCAGATATCAGGCTCCCTCAATTTATATCCAGCACTAAACTATGTGGCTGAGAGGGAAATCCTCCTCACCTTTAAGGAAACCATCATCGTTTATATTTTTGGAAACTACAGTGAGTGATGGTTGGCTGGGACAACTTTGAGGCATCTGTTATGGTTGCTATGACTGCAAACGTATGCCTCTCGTTACCTGGTTGTCACCTCAGTTCTACAAAATGTCCAAATGGAATGATTCATTCAACCAGGGTAAATGAACATTTCCAAGACAGGTAAGTATCAAATATTAACGTAATGGGATTAAAAAACAAATGTACCAAAAAATTGGTCAGTAGACTGGAGGTCTCGCTAAAATGCTGTGAAAATATTTGTCCTATATTTAAAAGCAAACTGCGATAAGTTCCAACCCCCCATGAGCTGAAACTTTTCAGTCATATTCTAAACCTTTGGTCTTCGTTAACTGAAAAAACCTGGAGCAAGTTACCATTTTAATGTTGCCCATTCATGTGAGAAAACCTGAGGTAAATTCTGAAAGACTTTACGCCTTTAACTTGAACCCAGTGTGCTTTTAGACTAAAAATGAATATGTGTTTGTATAGATTTTATTCTGCAAATTAAAATGTCAACTCTCCTTAAGAGATATGTCGTTATAAAATTGTGGTATGTTGATGAAAAATAAATAAGATTAATGAAATGAAATAGTCTGCCATGTCTTATGTGAAAAACTTCTTGACCAATTTAATGAACTATTTTTCTTTTTTAGCAAGAGTGTAGATTTTCATAATGCTTACCATGAAAAAGAAAAATGAGAGAGCCTGACTGCCTGATGTATTTCCACCTGCAGATGTCAGTGCAGTGCCATAGATAACCCTGTGCACAGTGCAGGACTACAGCGTTTGTACCATCACTCCTCTGAAGCTGGGGTGTGGCATCTGGGCTTGGTGTCGCACGGAGAAATCTATGCTTTTAGTCAGGATTTTTGGAAGTCCGCAAGCTCAAACTGCCACGACATAGGTTAAATTGAGCCTTAACATGTGTGCGACACGTGATTGTTTGTATAATCTTGAGATAACTTCTTCCATTGTGTTTTAGTGGTATAACAGAATACCTCTCATCAAACCTGAACTTGAAGTCACAAGAGCCCCGATTTTTTTCAGCTGTTCCACTTTGACAGACGTTAGACAAAAAAAAACACACAATACAATTACATACTAGCAAGAAAATAATGTAAGCATTATCAGGCTCTAAATAAAACATTTCAACAGTGAGCTGAACAATGTGCCGAGCATCCTTAAAATACAAATCACTGATGAAGTGACAATGACAAATCTGTTGTGATATCTCTATTCATTAACAGTGTCCTGATTTTTAGAGGAACTACTTTTTTATGGATGAAGACTAAGCTGTCAGGAGTTTCCAGTCCTGCAATTTACACTGTAAACTGTTTAACATTCTTCCACAACAAAAATGTGGTTCAGATGTAATCTATTGTTTCATTTCCTCTTCCAAGTGAACTTCATGTCATCATCATGGAATGCAAAAATATTTCAGTCTCTTTTTGTTAGTGTCATGTGTGTAAAAGGAAACGAAATGTGAGATTTAGTCACATACATCTCAGGAGTTATAAGTCTTGTTGCATTATTTAAAACAAGGTGGAGGAAAGCAGAAGTTGCTAATTTATCACAACCCTTTGTTTCAACAAGAATAATCCAACATATACAAGCAATTTGAATGACTTTATTAGGTCATGGGAAAATATCCCCACAAAAAAAGCATTTTGTGGTAATTAGTAACTGAAACAACCCAGAGAGCTCATCACATGCTAAACTCTTACTGCCTGTGTGTACAGTATGTTCAGAACAATAACTGAGCAAAGCTCTCAAGGATCTTGTCACCACATTCTTTACATTTCTTTAAAGCAGCACGATGAATTCCCACAAAGGACAAAGGAACTGGATGGACCAGTGTGGCTTGTTTCCAGGACAACTTAAGCTTTATGTGCAATAGACACTTGATTGTAGATGTACTGTAATTTTATCCAAAGGGGATGGAATGTACCTGGTTTTCTGGACAGCATGAGTGCTGAAATAGTGGTGCTATTAGCGCATTAAAAGGAATTGATTGTAAAAAAATAACTACACTTACTACATTCTTCAAATGTCCAAATCATCATCTCACATTGCAATTCAAGTCTAAGGTGAAAGCTGGGCAACTTAATTTTCTTTTGAGAAAGTCATACTGATGACACTCGCTGCCCTGCTTCGGCAAAGATTCTGTGAGGTGGAGTTTTACGTTAAACTGCTCATAGAATTTAACAGGAATTCTTAACTAATGTTAGTAAATCTCAATTTTTGTAATTAGATAAAAAAAAATCCAAGAAATTCTTTGTAACAGTAGTTTGTGAATTCGCTTTTCCATCGCTGATCTCCTTTTTGTGCATAACACTTACTGTTTTTGTGTGAAACAACATGTTTAAAGACAGTTTAAACACGTTATTTTAGGAGAACGTCCTCGGCTTCAGGGCAATGACACAACGAGGGTCACTTTACCCGATGACCCAGCTGTCGCTGCCATGGATCGACATCTGTTGAGTAATTCATTTCTGGGTGCGTACTTCAGTCATGATACTGTAAGATTACATTATACCACAGTACTACATTTATATAAGAAATACCATCAGGATAAAAAGCATAAATGACTGATTTGTTTTCTTCAAGGCTTTTAATGGTACGGCAAGCTGAATAATGTGAGCTTCCTATTTGATTACTTGTATTATGAATGTTACTAAATGAAAATCAACAGCACTGCTTATGCTGAAGGAAAACAGGGTTTGTGGTGGTTGTACCCTCAAGGTCCCAATTTTACATCTGCGTTTGAATCCACTGATATTCAATCTTATGGTATTCCATGCTTAGCTGTAATTTACACGGATAAAAGGGGGGAGTAAAACTATTGATCTGTGTCAGAAAACAAAGTTTAATAAACTCATTTCGATTACGAGAAATCAATATAATTTAGCTAAAGATGCAATCAGTGACATATGCAATTGATTTAAAGAATAAAAGTAAAAGAAATGGGGAAATTGTAGAACCTTTTATGTTTTGAAGTGTGTTTTCTATTCTAATAATCCTAAACTCCTTTGATTACATTTAGATTCACGTTAATCTAAATGTTATCATAGGAGTTTGTGGACTGACACCATTTTATGACCATAATGACTGTTCTTTCATGCCGAAAGAGTTCATTTTCGCAGATGACTCAAGCCACCTTTGACACTTAGAATAAAAGGCGATTAGTCCTTTTGTTTTCATATCAACGTCACATAAGCAGTCTGTGCTGCTCAACGTGTTCATGATGAATCAGGCAGATAGGCCCGACTCCTACAGCCACATCAGCTCCACCAAACATTTCCTTGAAGCGGAGATCACAATGACAGACTCATGTCACAGCAGCCGGAGCTGATCCGTGAGAGTGCAGCTCAGCTTTAAAGTGGATTCAGACCACAGGTGAGGCTTGTGCTGGAATGTGGCTGTAAAAGAGAGCCGTGGCCTCACCTTCAGGTCGCTGGGAGTGTACAGCAACAGGGAGGCGCAGTCAAAGGCTGAGGGGGGCGGGGCCTGCTCTGTTTTCTCCGTGCGTCTTGAAAAGTTGGCACCAAATCCCTAGAATCAGGTTTGCCTGTGCTCCGGCGGTCTACCTGCCTCGAAAGCCCAGAGCAGCCTGCGCTTCAGCCCGGATTTACCTGCAGGTCACAATGAGCCTGTGATCCCCCCCTTTTAAAGCCGAGACTCCCGTGAACGCAGACAGTGACGATGAAGAAGGGATCCCTGAATTTTCTGGGTCGAAAGAACCAGTCCCTTTTCGACACCAGCGTCAAAATGAAGGACATGGGTGAGTAGGCTCCCGGGACAGGTAAACACGGCCATCCGACAGGGAAACAGGTGTTTACGTGATCGACCTTTGGACCTGGTGTTGACAGGATCAGCCGCGTCAGAGCCCACTGCCAACACAGATATGATGACGTTGAACCTGCAGATAAACCCCCCCCTTAAACCCCCTTTCATAATGTCGGGGTTTAGTCTTTTTTAAGGCGGTTTCCTGCTCAAACAGGTGTTTGCAGGTGTCAGTGAGGGAACAGCTGAGATCCACAAACAGTTATTCAATTCCAGAGCCCCTCCTTCATAGCCCGGCTGATGTTCCGCCTGATGTCATCAGCTCAGGCCACATACTGACCTGCTGACTCTGTCCTGAGGGACATTTACCTTATCCACGCTGTAGTGTTTGGGATGTCAAAATGCATAGCCTATTGACACATGAATGAATGCATGGCATGTTTTGAAGCAGAGTGTAGTTGATATGAGACAATGACAGTTAAAATAATCATATGCTGTGTGTTTGGTGCGTCCAAAAAAAGGTCAAAGTGAAATCCTGTATGATGTCATAGTGTATTTACGTGCTAAAGTTTCACTAAGTGGGGCACTGAATCAACTGGGCGGACAGCGAGCTGACACTAAAGATGACTCATCTCTGACGACTTTCAGAGGGATTGTATTGTATTGCCATCTGTTTCTAAAATAAATAAAGGAAATGGACGCCTTGACGAAAAGTATGGGCACCCTAGACTGTCAGTTTCCTAGCAACATACCTGTTAGTAGGTAAACAATTTCTTTCAATGTAGATTTAAAGTCTTTGGGGTTTTTTGCGCCCATTCTTGTTCTTCAGAACGTTAAAGTGTACAAATGCACTCATCTTTTGGGAGTTATCCACAAATTTTCAAGAATATTTAGATTGGTGAAGAGGGAAGGGGATTGTGCAACCTTTAGTTTGCATATATCTTAAGGAAGTCCGTTGTTTCCTTTTGGATTACGGCTGTGTTGTAAAATGCATTCTCTTCTTATCTTCAGCCCCTGTTATGTTCGCTTCTAAAAGAAAAAGTCGTCTGAGCTTATTTGAACCCATTCACACCTGTGCCTAACAGCTGGAAAGCTGCACCCTTTTCCCCTGACGCACTGCTTTGCTCAGACAGGTTGATTTACAGATTAACATTTAATTTGAACGTTATTTGTAAACAGGATGTGTGGCTGGAATATTAGATTTCTTTTCTTTTGCAAACGTCCGAATTTTGTGGCTCCTGGGCAAGCCAGCAAACAGCTTTCTAAGACATCAACATGACCTCTAAAGTTCCTGTTGACCGCTTTTTTTCTTAACACATCAGAGAACACAACCGGCTGCCGTCTCCTTGGGGCCTTTTACCCCTCTTTAAGTAAATGTTATGTTGATTTTACGAGACAGCTGATGGCAGGAGGATTGTAGGTGCTAACTGATAGAATGTCTTTTCAAGTTGTTTGTAAAACTGTTAAATTTAGGTCACCTCTACTTTATGGTGATTGATAACAAGCTAATACTCGAACAAATTAACTATGGCAGTGCATAGGAGTTTTTAATCTACATGTTCACATTCATATTGAGAAAAATCAGTGATTATTGCTAATGAAATTTCTCCTGGCTGAGGAGAGATGCAGACAAAATAAATTTGCATCATTAAAGTTAAAAAAGTAGATCTCAGGTTCTCGTGCAATAGTGAGTAACGGTGATAACCCAAACCCTGTACGCCGATCATAAATGGATATCAGTTTGCTGATGTGTTTTTACAGCTCTATGTGACTGGTTCCAATTCACAGATGGAATCAGGAAACACAAGAGGAATTGCTATGCAAAGCTGCAACACGAGAGAGAATATTTGCCTATTTAAATCAGATCGGACACAATGGGGAAAATAATAATTTGGTTAGACTGGGTCAACAGCACAGCGCTTCAGTTCTGCTGAGATTCTTCAGTGACTCCTGCATATTTTTGGTTTTAAAGGATAAGAAAATCCAAACAACATGAAAATGATTTTATACCATGACTTAACGAAATGTGAGGAAAAGTACTTGACTTCCTTGTTCGTAAAGCCTGCAGTCAGTCTTTGTTTGCAGCCCTGATGACAAATGTTACCACTGAAAACTGAAGGAACACACAGACTAATCGCCTCTCATAGGCCACCATCTGTCATCAGTCACTTAGCAGACAAACACCATAACGTAATGAATTGTTTTCCTCTTTTTCTATGTTCAACCCCAGGAGCCTCTGATAACATGAGTTTTAGCCACGTTCAAGAAAATGCTTTGAACTTCTCATAACTCTCCCTGTTTGTGCCTCTCCCTTTTTTAATTGAGCTGACATTTTAGTGCTTGTTTCTTTACCTCAGTGCTCTTTGAAGTCACCTTTATTCTCTCGTCTGTCTCTGGCATTGCTTCTGATTTAGGTGAATTCTTGACTCGGATGTTTAGGTAATATGCTGTATTACATGTGAATCTTCAATGGCGATTAACAACAAAAGAGCACTAAAAGAACTCTTTGGTGCACAGGGTACTCCATAGCCTGCAGGCCCCAGGTTACTGAGACTTGCACTGTCTGTGTTCCCCTCCAGATTGCAGAGATATGGTGCTCCTATTGCACTGGCTGTAGGGCTAGATGACCACTGCTCCTTAATCCTTAAATAAATGGGATACCTTATACCTTCAAGTAGAATTGTAGGGTAAAGGGGTAGGGAATTAGACGTGAGCTTTACTGCAGAGAATCTCTTTCCTCTATAATGCCAAATTATTCATGGTGTTTGAACAGAAACAGACCATCTAAAGAAGTCATCTAAAGAGTCAAAACTTTCCTTTTAGAGGATGATTGTTGTGGGATAGGTGAGGACCGGTTCCAAAAGCGAACACAGGACTTCCACACTGAGCCCTCCCAGCCTGAAACAAACACCAGCCAGCAACCGGGAACCACAGAGTACGACCACCACAGATGTTAACATTCTCTCCCCCCCTCCTCAGACAAGGTGGAGCTGGTGTTGGGGTCTTCTGCGATCCCTGAGTCAGGGACAGCCAGCGTGCGAGCCAGACCCACTGTGAAGCATCATTCTGTGAGTATCTCAGTCAAACCTTCCCGATCCAGTTTCATTTTTAGACATTTTGTTGACAGTTGGAATAGCTTGTTTAATTTTCAAGCTATCCCTGACATACCTCCGTTATTGATATTTGTGAGGAATAAGGCTCAATGAAAAGCAATAATGTGATGTGAAGCATGCTGGAAAGTAAATATCGTATTACCAGAGGGGGTGTCTTTGCAGGTCATAAAAGATTAAACAGCCAAATCTTGAACAGGGAGAGAAAGATTACAAAATAAAATTCGAATGTTAAGACAGAAAGTTGTATAATAACCCGTTTAGACCCATTGCACTAAACAGCCTTTGAAATGTTATGATTCAGCTCAGAAATGTCTGGTCTTTCCTCGACTTTATTTAGCAGTTTTCTTCCGTGATTGAAGTAAATTTAACTCTTTTAGATTAGTTTACTACTTTTTCTTTAGTAGAACCCTAAATTAAAGACTTGTTACTGTAATGGACACAAGCAGTGGCGGCCGGCCCATAGGGGGCGCTGGGGCGCCGCCCCCCCCCTAGATGTGGAGGGGGAAAGTTATAATATATATATTTATTTTTAAAGTATTATCAATGTCAGTTTTACTTAATAATATGTGGCTACATGTAATATGAATTATTAAAACAACACTTCCACCAGTTGACTCTCATTCAACAGTGCATTTCCACCAACAGAACGTATCGTTTCTCTTCTGGGGCGCTAGCCCCAAGCGCCCCAGAAGTGCAGCGAAATAACCAATTGAAAAATGTTGCTAGGGAAAATTAATAAATATTTGGCCAATCAGCATCGCCGAAATTATTGGCTTTGGGGCGCCAGGAGCTGGCGCCCCAAAGCCATGGACACATAGCTAGTGGTCAGTCAGGCTGTGACGTAGAGATGACGGCGACGGCGACAGTTGAAGAGCAGCTTTCACATAATTCAGTGAGATCTTTACTGAGATCTCCTTACGTGAGAAGGACAATGGTGGAAAAATTAAACGTAAAGAAGCTGGGACCTGACAAGTCCGAAATAAATTTAACGCAGCGAACCAATGAAAAAGCTAAGTCCCACAGCCGGCCTTTTAGCAGGAGCTGGTTCCAGTGTGAGTCCTGGCTGACAGCCGGTGGGACGGCCAAAGCACTTTTATGTTTTTCCCGCATCCTTTTAAAGGTGACCGGAGTGATTTGACGTGGACACAGTCTGGACAGACAGACTTAAAACACCTCTCTGAACAACTAAGAAACATGAAATATCACGAGGTTATATGGAAAACTGTGTTAAGCTAACCGTGTTAAGCTAACCACCTGTGTGCCTACTTTGTGTGTTTGGTGAAAAATAGTAAAATTGAGTGTTGTATTTCATACTGTTCCCTTCCAAAATAATACCTAATATAGCTTCAAATGGTTAACTGTATATGTAAACTGCTGATTCTGATAAGGGAATTAAATCATTATTGTGGAATTGTACTAATTTTACGACTTTTAACTTGAATGCATGTACTGGGTTAGGCAGGGAAATATATTGGCACACCAGCCCCACCAAGATTTTTTTTCACCAGCCGCCACTGGACACAAGTGTTCACTTTTTAAATGGTTTTGGGAGAGATTCCTCTTAAATTAGCTTCCCATTAGCAACCGTTATTATTGACAGATGTATGACTCCCATTAACTTGTCAAGGAGAAAGCGAACAGCTCATCAGTGATCTGGTTCACACACCTCACCTCATTGTTTGGGAGTGTTCTGTGGCATGTGGAAGTGGCACACCCAGGAGCACGTGGGCTGGCCGGCTCTGCGGCAGCTGTACGTGAGTCAACGGACAAAATTAAAACTGGATCATACACTGTATCTCAGCTGACACACCCGTGGATTGTCAGGCAGGGATCGTACCTTTCAATGTGCAGCTACGTAATTGGGATTATTAGCAAACATCGAGAGGATGACAACTTTGTTTGAGGAGTGAGATTGTCGGCTAGATACGCACTTGTAGTGCATTACATCAATGTTCTGTTTGTTTATTTCTGTTTTTATTTCATCTGATTTTTATCAGTGAAGCATCACTGTGTAAACTGTCAGTCATCCCAATCATAGTCATCCTAACTGTGCAAATAGAGAGGCAACTGTACTTCTTTTTTTTAGATTCAACATTTCTCTCACATTTATCCAAAAGGGTTAGGGTCAGTTCCAACTGACTGATTTTTAGGATCACAAGCTTTTGGGAGCACCACACCTGGTTAGAAACAGTTGGGACTTATGCTGAACCAAGCAAAACACTCCAGTTGCTTCTTACTGAAACTCTTGCCCATGATATTTGTAGCATGTACAAGAAGCAATAATTTACCTGAAAGAGCAGCCTCATATTTATTATATTATATTATGGTTTATTATTATTAGGGTGGCACGGTGGTGTGGTGGTTAGCACTGTCGCCTCCCAGCAAGAGGGTTCTGGGTTCGAATCCCGGGGGAACCAGGACCTTTCTGGGTGGAGTTTGCATGTTCTCCCTGTGTCTGCGTGGGTTCTCTCCGGGTTCTCCGGCTTCCTCCCACAGTCCAAAAACCTGCATGTTAGGTTGATTGGAGATTGGGGAAATTGCCCTTAGGAGTGAATGTGAGTGTGCTTATTTAGTTGTCGCTGGTTCTGTGAAGTGAAAGTCACTTTTCAATGCCTGTCAGTCTCTCTTTTCCCCGTCTCACCCAAAGACGAACGCACGGGTTTCTATTGGTGAGCTTGTGATTCTTTTGGGCTGGCCCACTGTAGCGACAACAGACAGCATGAAGAATGATAGGTGTATCCTCTGATTCACTAAATGTTCTTCATCACTAAAGAATGAGTTCCACCTACAGTTTATTGTGACAAAGCAAATTGAATGTATGTTTCTGAGTGTTTAAGCATAACACAGAGTATCGTCTTAGCTGAAGGGCTGCTTTGACAAATTCAGCACTTGAAATGGTATGAAAATAGGGAACATGTAAACAGCCCTGCTGCATATTCTTCAAAGTTCTCAGAGCTGACACACTTTGTAAGCACTTGGCAGCTGTTTTTCTTCTGTTGTCACTAGTCATGCATCACATTTTTAAAGAACAGAAGTGCTGTGCTAGTGGAGAACTGGTTTGTTCACTTTGCCAGGACTGCCAGGAGAAGTAGAAAAAAATAATTTCTATGGAAGAACAGAATGTACCCTTTCTGATCTCAGAACCAGTATTCCTCTCATTCTGGTGTTGGTAAGAAACTGATAAAAATGTTTGATTTCTCTCTCACAGACATCTGACACTTTTCAAGGGTTTGCTGTCCCAACTCCCACTGTCCCTCTCCTCCCCCATGCCAATGGTCTAAAGATAAACGGTTCAGGTGAGAATCTAATATGTACTTTTGGCTTATCATGCCTTTGAGACAAGAATAGCATTATTTAAACTTTGTGGGGTTGAGGTAAACTGTGATGCCTTTACTCAGTCTTAGTTGATGGATCACAGCAATCGGAAAAAAGGAGAAATGCTCGCCGAGTTAATGTTTGTCTACTCAGTTAGTCAGTAAATCCTTAGAAAATCTCCAAATGTCCTTACCAGATAGAGGGTATATTTACCTAATGGGAGTGTTTGACTTGTATTTCATTTTAATTTATGACCTCAGTAAGATTAATATTTTTACTTGAGTTTTGGTGATAAGTCTGAGGGCTCTTAGAACAATGGTGGTGATTGTACTCTCTGCGATGGCCCTCAACTTTTCTCTCAGTTATTCTTTCTGTCTTCTGTAGTTTCTGGAGAACAGTTGTCCAATGGTTCCGTTGCATCTCTGCCTGACCTTACGGAAGGAGAAATATTTGTTCCTCCTCCTCCTTCAGTGGCACCTCCATCCCCTCCACTGAGTTTTGTTCCTCCTCCACCGGACTTCATGGGTGACCTAAACAGCATAGACCTGGCAGCCCTTCAGCCTCCTTCCATGCCTGCACCCAAACTGGCTTTTCCACCACAATCTACGGAGGAGGAAGATTTATCCTTCCTAAAACCTCCACCAATGGCTCCACCAAAACCTCCATCTACTTGCTCTTCTGGGTCTGTATCATCCTTACCCAGCTATACCCCGCCACCAGCCAAAGTTCCTGAGCATCCCAAATTTTCCCCACCGCAGCCGCCCTCTGAGAATCAGCACAAGACTCATAAAGCACCACCTCCAAAACCTATTCGATTGTCCTCCGTTCCCAAATTCGATTCCCCACCACATACGCCAGCACCACCTCCTCCTGTGCAAGCTCATACACTGTCCACCTTCAACCCCCAAAACACAGCAAAGCTCTATAATGTGCCAAAGACCACATTTCTCAATGGAAATGAGGATCACAATCCAAGGCCTAAGCAGATATTACTCCTGGAAGACTCCGGGCCTGCTAACTCTGTTCCTGTGCCTGTCAGTGTAGATGGTAAAGCCCCCAAAGTGAGTACACCACCTAAACCAGCTCCCAAATTTGCACCAGAACAGAAGGAGAGCTTGAAAATGACTCAGCCCTTTAAAATATCCCGGCCTGAGCATCATGGAGAGGCCAAAAGAGAAGCAATTTCACCCCAGTCAGAAATAACCAAGCCGGTACAGTCTCCACAGCTTCCAAAAGC